GGAATTCCTAGGAATTCCTAGGAATTCCCAGACTACTGGGAATTTATTTCGCAGGGGTTTGTCGTCCATCTTAAAGAGGTACCACTGTAAATAAATTTAAATTCATGATAATTCTTTACATTTCTTTCAGTCAAAGGAGAGGATCCATGTAAGGCAGGAAGCTCGTGGTATAACGTGTTGTGAGTGGTTACAATTTAAGGTCAGGATGATCAAACTATTGATTGATTGATTGTGTTGTTCCAGAAAATATGTATACCCCTCCCACAGAAGGTTTTGTAGCTTGAATCCCCCCACCCCTCCGGAAATTCCATTTCAGTGTCATACTTTCCTTTTAAAAAATTGGGCTTTTGAAACCCCCCTCCCCCTTGAAATTTCCATTAACCTTCCTTAGGGTGGATATGGATATTTTCTAGAACTACACATTGATTGATTGATTGATCGATCGATTGATTTTAAGATTGATTGATTGATTGATTGATTGATCGATTGATTGATTTATTTTTGTTAGCTGGAGCAGTCAGCTGGAACACATCTACTGGGTCTTCAGTATAACTTTTGAAACTGCATGCATTAAGTTCTAAGTTAACAACAATGCACTCGCTAATTATATGAATAAAGACTAAGCAAATCTGGCAGTAAATGGGACCGTGGACACTGGCTGCTCCCTACAGTGTTTTCAAAACCAGCCATTGACCGTTGCATCTTGAATGGCAACTTTTCCATTTTCAATGCCTATTTTCCTAAGAGTAAATTCTGAACTAAATAATTTCTCAAAAGAGCCAAGTTTTCACAGAAGAGTTCATCAGTAAATAAACAGGAAATTTTTGCCTAGAATTTTGCCACAATTTTCAATCTACTTGCATTGCATACATCGATCAATGTTGACTAAACTAAGTGGAAATGCACCCAGGCCAGTAGCCCCTATGCAAAGGAAAATAGGTGACATGCCTAGCATGAAACTGGTACAAAGACCAGTGTAGCATAGCATGTGTTTGTGAGTGCTGTTCAGTGAGACCTGATGTGCAACAGTTGGTAAAAGTGATAATTTTGGATGAGCATGAGCATACAATAGTATTGTCAGTAATGAATCTAGGAATGGTTGGCATGAGCCTTAAATAATAATTTGTTGATAAAGATACCAATTAAGTTAATGTTGCTAATAGCCTCCGTTATTGTAAGTTTTGTTTATCAAGTTCCTTGGCATGTTGGTAATGCACTGACTCAATGAAAGACAATAGCATCTCTGTGGCTAAGACATTTGATAGCCGGTGATACTTAATATATAGATTTAGGCCAGCCTAAGAGCGTAGCTCCTGGGCCGGGTTGTTCAAAGTCCGATTAAGCTAACCCAGAAAAAGGTAGAATTTTGATTTGAGTTTTGTAACTTTGCGGTGAGGTTTTCTGTTTATTGTGTGGCCTGTTTTGAGTTTTAATAATCACCATATACACAAAAGAAAACAGCAAAAAACATTTGTATGTAAGAAAAAAGTTATAATTTGGTTAACATTTAATCCTGGGTTAGCGTTAACCGGCTTCCAAACAATCCTGCCCTGTTTCCAACAAGTTAACCTAATATGAGCCTGCGATCTAATCGATAACCAGCACTTGGTCAGCGATCAACTTTAAAAAAATGTGACCTCAAGAAGCTGTAAACTTGAGCCCACAATATGGTCACGTGATACTGGTCAGCGGATACCTTGTTTTGACAGGTGTCACTTGATCGTAACATGGATGTCCAATATCAAGGAAGTACACGGTAAACCAAGGCTGCATATCTCTGTCAACCTATTATTTGAAGTATGGCCGCCATGTTGGGCAACTCTGCCATCGTCGTTGCCGTTGTCATCGTGCATACATGCCCACGAGCAATACCGCTAGCCATGATAACCATGAGAAAATCAACTCAAGGGTTTCCTTTTCTTTCCCATATGAGTATGGGGCTCCACTTGGCAGCCCCCGAGTTCCGCTATAAAGCTATTGTGTTTAACTGTACACTGTACAAGTAAAGTGAACATGAGCTTTTCTATATGACCGTCAGGAAAATTTCTGCCGTAAGAAAGATGCCTTGAAAGTCAAGAAATGATGTAGATCAATGCAGCCAAATAAGTATACAATCCCAGAGAATCAAGGTGGAACCTATTGAGCTAAGGGTGGTGAGGTAGGGAACAAGATTCTGACCTGTGCAGTTGTGCACTTTTTGCTTGCATTGGAATGGAATTGTAAAGTTAACAAGGTGAATCTAAAAACAGTCCTTTTCCTTTTTTCTGCAGACAAACGAATGACAGAGAATTACAAGATTTAAAGCTTATGATGTTTTTACAAGAATGGTGATATCAGGTCAGTTTCACCCATTATTTACACAGCCCAAAGAAAATATATGCATGCATGCTGATTGGTTTAAAATCACGTTTCCATAACTCAATAGAAACACAGAACTAGCATCAGCTGTTGACATAATGTTGGCGTGAGCAAAGAGAATTTACATTTTGATGATCAAAGTAAACAAGTTGTTTTCTTTTTCTCGTTGAAGAATTTTCTAAAAGAAATAGAACACATGTTCTCCTTATTTCTGTCAAGTTATAGAAACATTTGTCGAAGTTTGGGAGAACTCAAAAAAGCTGTGGGACTCAAGCTGACAAGCGAGTGTTTCCACAGCTTCCACATTTCTCGTTCTCCTAAACCTCCACTCGTGATTCTTTAACTTGATGGAAACACAGTGCACATATTCTGTTTCTTAAATAATACTAACTTAAAGTCAAGTTAAAACATGGAGCAGTGCAAATTTTTATAAGCTGGAATGGTTCTCCTCTTTTAAATGCAGGGCCATAACATGTAGCTAGTAACAGGCAAAGCAAGACACTGAAATGCCTCAGTAAAGATTTCTTTATTTCAAGTAATTCAGACAAGTTCTTGTAAGACATTATGCATTTATTAGTATTGAAATATACTAAAGAGAAAAATGTGCTTTTCTTTTTCCTGATATTGCTCTGCCCACAAAACAAGATCTTTTGGCACTTCCTAGGGGTTCTTTTCAAAATTTCCGACAAGCACTTCTGTCCTTTTTATATGGGATCCCCCCCCCCCAGGGTCTTGGGTCAATGACCCGATAGTAAAAACTTCTTGACAAATGAAGTAGGAACATTACTATAATTGCTTAGGTGTGTTATTTACAATAAAAAAGCTTCCAAACAGAAAATATTGGAAAACAATCATTCCAGATCAAGGCAAAAAAATTACAGAAGTTAATCTACCATAGTTCTGAACAACAATGTGTCTTCTCAGTTCTTGCACCCTAAAGGTAAAAGGTAAAGGTAAACTTTATTTAGCCAGGGAGGCCCAGTCAGCAACGAGGCTGATATCCAGAGGGGCCCTGGACTCAAAATGTAATAATTAATTATTATTATATGGCTGCGTCTCACAAAGACTGGGAACTACCGAATTCACGAATATGATTGGCTGAAATCGATATTGACTGCGGTCTAGATTTTCCCATCT